CAGACTGGAAGTTCCGGTAACACTCTACCATCATTACCTGTCCACAGACGTCTCGCAAATATACTCTTTTGTTGGAGACTATCCATAGATAACCTGAGTGAAATTCAAATTTCTCAAAGCCCGAATTAAAAGACTTCCTTTTCATGCTTTCACTATCTCGTGTTCTTTACTTACCAATATATTTATTCATTTATTAATTTTTTTTTCCTGAGAAATCAACCACGCCGTTCTTAGGAAAAAAATTAAAATAAAATGTCAATGTAAAAATAGAGTTCAGCAAGGGTGACTACCGGTCGAAGCTCTCGGGATGAATCAATTTTAATATTTATTTGTAAACAGTCTCCCATACGGAATTCGAATTTGATATGCATTATTTCGATTCTAGAGAATGAACCACAAAAGCAAAAACAAAAAACAAACCAAAAAAAAATCAGAGATAACTGTAATTTGTTTTGGCAATGTTTTTGAGTCTAACTGAGGTAGTTCGGAAACGAATGAATAAAAACGTCCTTAACGACTTTTTTTTTTTTTCATATTTAAAACTGTCGGATTCTTTATTCTCGATTCTGCATCAATTATTAAAAAGTTAATTTCCACGGAAGCAGAATTTCAAAATATCAGCGTTTTTATTCACCGATAGCTGAGAACAATAGTATTCTCTGATTTGGAACAAATCCATTATCACTAAAAGCAGAGAATTTTTTAGAGACCCCAAGCTGCTTGTTGTAAATCACATTTAAGAAGATAATTGATTTCTGTTTTTACCAATGATAAAACATCTGCACGAGAAGTTTAAAACCTGAAGAACCTTTCAAAACCCTTATGATGCTTTCAGCATAAAGAATTGGCGGTTTGCTTTGATGGCGACTATTGCCGGACGCACGTCTTTTACATCAGCTTGATTCATAAACTTGGTATGTAAAGTCCCTTCTCGTGACATAATCATTCAGAAATTGAAGCCACGAATTATTGGAGATTTTATTTCATCTTGCTACAGACCGTCTTCTGCTCTTCTATCCGTTAAGAAACCTGCAGGCTACTCCATAGGGGTAAGT